TTCACACTGTTGTGTAACCATCACTGCTACCCATCTTCAGAACTCTTTCATCTTCCAAACTGAAACTGTCTTGGTTAAAAAAACACTCAACTCCCAGTCTCTCCTCCTTCAGCCCAGGCACCCACGCTTCTGTTTTTTGTCTCTATGATTTGACTATTCTAGGAACCTCATGCAAGTGGGATCACGCAGGAGCTGTCTTTCATGTCTGCCTTATTTCCCCTAGTGTAATACCCTCGGGGTTCATTCATATTGTACCATGTGTCGGAATTCCCTGTGTTTTTAAGGCGGAATTTTATCCCAACATGGGTAGTATCACATTTCGTTTATTCATCCATCCTTTGGGCATTTGGGTGGCCTCCACCTTTTGGCCATTTGTGAATAATGTTACGAATATAGGTGTGTAAATATCTATCTGCTCATGTCCCTGGTATTGGTGCCATTGGGTATAAAATCTGAGGTGGAATTACTGGATCTTATGGTAATTCTGAGTTTGATTTTTTTCAAAGGATCACCGAATTGTCTTTCCCAGAAGCTACACCATTTTAAATTCCTACCAGTAGTGCACAAAGGTTCTAATTTCTTGTTAATATTTGTTCTTTCCTTTCCCTTTTCTTTTGCCTTCCTTTCTTTTTCCCTCTTTCCCCTCCCCCCTTTCCTTCCTTCTGCCCTACGGAATGTGAGGTGCTTTTTGCTTTGAGAAACCAATCTCCACTGACAGTTCAGTGCCCAGGGAACCAAGGAACAGCAGAGTTTATGTGGATGCAGTAATTCTTTTAAAATTATGAAATCTGGTGACTTAACATGTCCCTAAGGTCCTGATTATTTAAACTGGAGTTTGTGCTCATACCCTGTCTGATTTTATCCTCACCCTGATGGAATAATCAGGTGTCTTCCCCCACTTTATGGGGGAGGACTTTGAGGCACAGATGAGTGAAGCCAGGTGTGCAGACACTGGCCTTACAGAGCTTCTCTGCAGACCCTAGCTCCTAGTTTGCAAACACTGCGAAAATTGTTATTCCGTAAGTGCTGGTGTGGAAAAAGGAAGCATGAAGGATGCAGACTGGATTCCTTCTTTGAAAAAACTCTGGGATGAATCCTTCCTGCCCACTTGTCCTGCAGGGCCAAAATTTCATCTATGAGCTATTCTGATAATGGGTAATTTGTTTTTGTTTTTTATTAGAGTACACTCTTCTGCACAGTCCACTGGCTTAAGGGATGCCCTTTTGAGCCCAGGGGTGGATGTCAGATTTCTTTGGGGCTCTCCGGAGAATCAGGGTTGTGGCTTGGGGTAAGGCGATCGCTTCCTTTTTCAGGTTTTCTGGCTGAGGCCCAGGCGGTTCTGTGGCACAGTTGGGGCCTTTGGGCAGACTGGGCATTTGCGGTAGGTTTTCTTGGCCTGGGGACAGCTGGTGTTTGCGTTCGCATGGTTCTCACAGCTTCTTTGCCCTTCCGCACTTGTGGGAGAGGAAAGTGGACTTGTGCCCTGGGAGTCCCATAAATCTGGCTCTTTTCCATTTTTATTCATCATATTGCTTTTTGATCTAAAAAAAATTCAGCAGCAAGAAGAAAGCTGTTGTTTCAGCAGTTTAACCTTACAGCATGGGGTTACCCAGTGAGGCTTTCCTCTCTGGAGAAAAGGGATGCCTGCCGGGACCCCTCCCATGATGACCTCTGCTTGTGACCCCCTCCTATTTTGGCTTTAGACTTGTTTAGGGGTCCCTGGGTTTTATCAAGGGAGATACTTCAGAATCTCAGGAAATTTGTGGTCATTGGTAAGCTGGCTGGGCAATTCAGGTGTTTGGGGTTTAATTAAATTTCTAAGTGGAAACCAGGAGCGTGGTTAACCAGAAGTGAGACAGTCCTGCCTCCTCATTCTGCCCTGGCACCAGGTTGCTCAGCTTTTCTTGGGATAGCTTTCCTTGCCACTTTCAGCGTTGCCTCTGAATCCCCTGCCCCCCTATTGTGATGGGACCAGCTCATTTCTTCTCTGACAAACCCTTTCTCTCTGCCATTGTCATCTAGGAAAGATGTGTGTGGCTGTGTTCATGGTTCATCAGTCATACTGGCCCCTACAGACTTCCCTTGTCCCCATTGTCATAACCTGGCTCACATCCTTCTCTCTGTCCCTTTATGAGGGTCCAGTGATCAGCCTTTCCATTCAATGGAGTTCTACAGGGAAGAAGAGAGCTAATTTTTGGTGCTTCCAGAATTTTCATTTCACTTAATCTTTGCCACTTGGGATGTTGTCATTGTCCTCTCCTGCATGGGAGGCTCAGGGGCTTCAGTAGCATTCCCAATGTCTCCAGCTTTGCAGGTGGAGTCATGATTCAAGATTGGGGGTCTGTCCCACCCTAGTCACATCACTTTGTATGACTGGATGTATTACTGGCCTCTGTGGGCTCAGATATCCATCTGTGAAAGGGAGGGACTGACTAGGTTGGTGATTTTTAGTGACAGACTGCAGACATACTAGCTCTCACAGCTTAAACAAGGGACTGTTTTGGTTGTTCAATCTGATTGAGAAGTCTGAGGGTTGTACTTTTGGGGGCATGATTTGTTGTGTTTTTCTCCAGTTCGTTTTATCCTCTCCTCTTCATCCGAAGTTTGCTTCCTTTGGGAGACAGACAGACAGCAGTGTTTGTTTGCAGTCTTTTTGCCTCTGCAGGGGCTTTGTGCTAGCATTCCTGCCAGCTGTCCTCCACTCCTGAACCTCACCTGTGGTCAGGAGACGGGTACATTTCCTGGCTTCTCTATGTTTGCATGTGTCACACTTGGCACTCCAGGTGGAGATGGTTTGCTTCCCCAGAGCCATTAAGATTCTGAAAATGGAAACGAGGACCCTGGGAAAGCAGAGGTACACATAGAGAGGTGCCATCACCAGTGTGTCACACTTTCTGAGAATTAATTGGACTGTTGGAAGATCCACCAGAATGTGTGCTTTGGGCACAGGGAATGAGTTGTGTTCTTTTTTGCATACATGGTATTTGGAAGAGTACCAGAAACATGCTAATTCTCAAAGCTCATGAATGAGTGAACCTCGACAGTATCCCGACAGTATCTTCCCCTGCTGATTGAAACTGGGAATGTGTTTTTGCATGAAGACCTCATCTTGCCCCATTAAGCAGCTGGCAGCTTAAGTTGCAAAATCCAGCTTTGCAGTTGATTGCCTGTGATTAGATTCTTGTTCAGGTGCACAAAAGAGTTGTCACTGGAATAGCAAATTGATGCTTGGAGTGGCATCTTACCTGGTATTTCTTCAAAGAAAGGCAAATGCATTTTGTAAATTTGTTCTTTGTCTGGTTTGAAAAGCCCAGTGACAGAAACCGGGGGTAATGGGTTTATACAGACTTTACTGGGCTCCTGTATTTGACAGCTCAGGGAAATGCTGAGAACCCAGGGAAGCAAAACCCAGCCCTGTCCAAGCCCAACTGCACAAGTGGATTTATTTAGATGGCTCTTTTGTGTTCACACATCCATGTGCCAGCTGGGAAGGAGATCTTCTGGTTGCTCCATGTGAGAGAGACTGCTTTGATCTCCCGGCTGCTGGGTTGAAGGTGGGGGACCCAATATTGCTTGCTTTGTCCACTACACAGGTAGGTCTTGTTTGAGCAGCAGTGACTCATGCTCATAGGTTGTGTTAAGCCATGTTGCCCTGACAGGTGCTGCCACCTGTCCTCTTTTGCCATCGCTGGAGAAAAACATCTCACTCTCATGGTGTTGGATGGTTTCAGCTTAAGCTTGATGCATTAAAGGCGTTAGATGTCTCAGGAAGTGTTGACCCCTGTGGTTGGTGTCACCCCATTTTCCAGATGGGAAATTTCAGGATCTTGAAGGTTTCATTACTTGTTCAAAGTCACCCTGGTGGTGAGTGGCGAGGCCAGAATTTGTTGATTTGCTCACAAGTTGTATCTTGACTGCATCCGTTTAACTTCTTGCTGCATGCTGGTGTCCCAGTTTCCTTGGGAAAGTATTAGAAGTCACAGATCAAATGAGTTTCATCATGTTTCTGTGATGGGCCCTTTATCTCCCTCAGCCAGTAAACCACTGACAGCTTTAAAATGGCGTCCACCCTCTCCAGGAAGAGGGGAGCCACACATCCTTTTAGGAGTGGAACTAGACCCTGACTTCTCTCTTCTGCTCTGCAGGTGAGACGATGTAGTCTGTGTTACTTAGTGCCAGAACTGATTAAAGTGCTCATTTGCTGGAGTCTCACCCATGAGAAACTCTCATTAATGGCTTCTTAGGTTCAGTACTTCCCTGCTAGTTCTACTTCTGTGTGCTGCCCTTGAATTCTCTCTAGGAATGCAAAGTCTGATCTGGAGAGCTGTTGGTAATTGCTGAAATTTGCTAACAGCAAGTGACAGAGTCCAAATCCAGGTGTAGATGCAGGGCTGTCTGCAAGCACATTTCTCCGCAGTGCTGGCCAGTTTTCTTAGGCCCATTCCCAAAATATGCATCAACATCAGTGTTCCTTCTTAGAATATCATGGTTGCTGAAGCCAAAGCACACATAGTTGAATTTGTATCACATATTACCTCTCCTGTGACCCTTGGCACTTAGAGTCACAACTGTAAGGTTAAGAGGGGTGTTCCAGTATCCTCCATAAAAGAGGTTGCGAGGTTTGGGTACATACGCAGTGGGACTGTAAAGCAGACTGATGTGTCACCAAGGAAGTGTGGTGTTGAGACCCTGATTCTCAGCTGACATGGACAGTGCTGTGTGTGTACCACTTTTTACTCTCTGATTTCAAGTTGAGCTTTCAGAGTGGATCCACTGCTAGGCTGGCTCTTCTGATGCTATGTCTGGGTTTGTGGGGAGCTGCCCCATGCTGACCAATGCCTTTGGATGGGATGGGGGCCTGGGAGAAATCCTTGCCCTGTGTGAGCTGCGCTCCCACAGACGCCACAGGCTGTGTTTTCTGCATGAAGAATCTTCTAGCTGACAGGACTGGAAGGGCGGCGAATGGAGCCCCTGGTGACCTTAGGGTTGGAGGGTGGGAGGGTATTCCTCATTCACTGGACTGTGTACACAGAGTCTTACCTTCTCCTTTCTCCTATTGTTCTTCTCCTCTTTTTGATTTAAATTCTATGCAGTCCTAAAAACCAGGCTCAGTGACTGTATCAGCCTGGCCTTTGCATCTTTGCTCTGATGTTGCTGGGTTGAATTAGGGAGGAAAGTTTCCTTTTTCAAGGAAGTCCAGTTCCCTTTTAGTTTTTTCCCTTGGAAATACAGACTTTGGGCTGTGGTTTCCTTTGGGCTTAAATGAGATGACTTATGTGAAGATGGTGGGCACACTTTTGAAAATGTCTAAGGGAAATTTGAGAAGTTCCAAGTCCAGAATTCTGTTGGCTCGATGGGCAGGCAGGATGAAGTGTGTGAGAGCGGGTCAGGTGGGGTGCTCTGGGATCTGGAACATCCTGGGATCTTGAACAAGCCTGTTGCAGCTTGCTTTTCCCTGTGTCTCAATAGCTTCTCCTTCTCTCCTGAACCACATCCTTCTCTCCCTGCACTCCCAATGCAGAGCCAGTGCACTAGCACTGGACGTGATGTTGAACCCAATATTCTTGCCCAGTAGATGCCCAAATCGTATTTGAATAAGCTTGCCAACGAGTGGATTGGGTGCTAACTCTATTTTTGCAAAGTTTTGCTCTTTACTGAGTATTTCTCTTCCTTGAACTTGTGTAGTGTATGCTGCCATGATTGTATCGCCGTCACGGATGGTTTTCCTTTTTTCTTCAACATAATCATAAATGTGCACTCTCTGGTTTCAGAGCAGCTGGCCTGATCCCCAGTAAAGCCTTCATATAAACACGGAGACTTGGCAGGTAGACACGGCCCACACCGCTCTGCCCTTTGGCTGGTGCATGGCTGTGGTTATACAGGGGCCTGGGTCACTGGGCTCTGACTCTGAAAGCCAAACACATTCTGTGGTAAAAGCAATCACAGGTCTTGCTTTCTGAGGGTGTCGCTGGTTTTTGCTTAGGGTGGTCTTGAGAATTACATTCTTCTGTGCCCTGTGCCTGGTTTTTGTTTCATTTATTCACAGAGCCTTTTTTTCCCCCCTCCTCATAGCTTTGTAATTTGCCTCAAGACTGTGGACACATCATGCTGTCCCAGGGTCCTCAGTTTCCCTTTTGTACACCTTGGAGCCAGTTGGTCCCTTTGTTAGTTGTAGCACAGAGCGGGCTGCCAGTTTCCCTCACTGCTCCCTGCTCATGGTCTGGAGGAACAAAGAAAAGAAGGAGAAACTCTGGGCTGTGCTTGCCAGGTAAACGGCTTTTGCCTGGTCAGTGGCCCCCTTGGCTTCTTGGAGAAGCACTGTGCTTGCTCAGACATAAACAAAAGAAAAATAGAGAGCAGTCTTGCTGGGCAATCTTTATAAAACATCAGTTGTGATAGTTTGGGATGTCTTTTGTTATGTGACCTTGTACCAAAATAAGCAAATCAGAAGCGTGAGTGGCTCCTTCTCCTGAGTCTTGGGAGGTCAGGCCTTAATTCAGCGTTCTCTAAGGGGAACACTCTGCTTCTCCCTTTCCAGGGTGAGCTCAGGACTTAAACTGGCTTTAGAGTGTTGGTCACTGCCGCCCCCCTCCCCCCTTCCTGGCTTCAGGGAAGAATGAGTCTGTTTTTAGCAGGTGGATGCTTCTGGTTTTCCATTATGGATTTGGAAGCAGACAGATGCTGGGGAGCACACAGGGTGATGGGCAGGATTCGAGGTGACGGCCTGAGGGCTGCCACTCAGTGGCTTCTGAAGCATAGTGATGCCTTGTTAGAGCCCGGATTGTTCTGGGAATGAGAAGTCTTGTGCTCTCCCTCCTCCTTCACGCCCTAACCCTCCCCTCCCCTTGCAGGGAAAAAAAAAATTCCTTCCCACTTTTAGCATCCGTGTTTTTAAGAATTCCCTCCATTGTAGCCCCGGACAGAGACCCTTCTGTAAGTGCACTGGAGGCCTGTCCTGGGGACACCCCGCCCCCCTATTAAAAGACCATCGGAACAAGCTCACCATTCTCCTCTGGAGAGGGTCCCTCTGTCCCAGGCCAAGGGACTCTTAAGGGAACGTTTATCCTGGGACACTCAGTTTACAAAGACTGCTGCAGCGTCAGATAAACTCCCTCAGCCCTGGTGGGGAGGGGTGGGATAGGAGAAGGACAAAACCCCCTTTATTTTCACCCCTGCAGGGAGACCAATAAAGACTTTGTGCTGGAGCGCAGGGGTCTGAGCAAACAGAGGAAGGGGGTCTGTGTTGGCATCCATGCACCGGAGCATTATGGGCTATTATCTTACCATTTGAGTCTTAGGGGAAATCTTGGCTTGGGTGGTTGATTGCAAGGCTCCAATCAGGTAAGTGATCCTGGATTCCTTCCCCCCTCCTCTCTTAGGTAGCTGAGAAGCTCTTGTATAAGTTGGTTGAGGTTTGCCAGGCAGAAATCCCTAGGTGTCTGTCTGTCTGTCTTTCTTCCTTTCCTCCCTTCTCTCTCTCTTCCTTCCTTCCTTCCTTCCTTCCTTCCTTCCTACCTTTCTTCCTTCCTTCCTTCCTTCCTTCCTTCCTTCCTTCCTTCCTTCCATTGTTTAGTTAAGGAAAATAACAATTCAGTGGACCAGGCTCTAGCTGTCTGTGTTTTAGAAGATTTGTGGTCTCAGAGACTTGGGGAAGCTCAGCATTAGGGGATAAATTTGGCTGTGTGTGTGTGTGTGTGTGTGTGTGTGTGTGTGTGTGTGTGTGTGTTTACACCCAGCCCCCTGGGATGTATGGGCAGGATGTGTTATAGTTGTAACCATCTGGAGTGGTCTTGACCACAAGTAGCATAAGGGTTTCACTCAGTTGTGTAAAACTGGTCCTTTGTGAGAGAAGAGCATTGATGAATGTTCGTTGAATATCTACTAAGAGCCACGAGTTGTATCAGCATCTCATTTAATCAGAGGATTTCTTTGATGAGATAGTGCTGGTCTTACAGACCAGTAATGCAAGGTTTAGAGAGGGAAAGTGACATGCTTGATATGACCCAGCAGTTCTTGAGGTTCCAGCTCTGTCCCATTGGTCTCTGTTGCAGACTGGAGGCCTGGCCTCGTCAGGGGACCAGGGCAGCTGTGGGGGTGGGATGGGATGGAGGCCGAGGGGACAGAGATCACAGGAAGACTGAGGGTACTGCTGGGCCTATACCTTCTGGCAGCTGGTTTGGGGTTTGGTTTTGTCCACTGACCTCCTGCCCATCTCTAGTGTCTTCATATGGCACTGGCTGGGCATTGGCCCCTGAGGTTCAGGCAGTGCCTGGAAGCTCTGGCAGAGTCCAAACAAAGGCACCTTCCCTCTGTTCCAAGCCCCAGCCCCAACCCTCTCCTCCCAGGAGGCCATGTTGGGCCCTGACCTTGGTGTAAATGTGTTGGGCAGGTACTGGAGGGATGGGGCCTGCATTCACTCTGCCCGCCTCTGCCCTTCCTGCCCATCCGAGAAGAGGCCAGTCTGGGTACAGTGTCAGGTAGAGGAGAAAGGTCTTTCCAAGAGGGCTTCATGGCTGAGTTCAGAGTCCTTGTCCACATCAGATAGCTGCAAGGGTGGCCAAGGCTCAGACCAAATGGGCAGAAGGACGACTTCAGGGTCTCCTTTGTCTGCTGAACCCACCCAGTCCCACTGGAGCACTGCAATCCTTCCTGCTTGGGCTGCAAACTGGAACCACCTCTGGGCTGGAGTCATTCTCACTTGCTGGGCAGGGGTGGAGAAGAGATGTCATTGGGAATCTTACTTCTGGCAGGTGGCAGAACCTGGAGGTTCTGCCTGCCTATAGCCTACAGGAGAGGCAGGGCCTGGTCTCAGAAGGCGTGGTATCCCCTGCTGGTGCAGGTGTCTGAAAGCAGAGATTTGGGAAGAGGGTGGTTTGGGGGGTTAGGATGTGGCTTAGAGGGGGTGATGTGAGAAGGAAGCTGCACTCCATCCTCCAGTTGTGTGGACAGGTTGGGACCTGTGGTGCTGCATACAGGAGAGGAAGCCAGGGAGGAAAGTTTGTGGGGAGCAGAGCAGAGGAGCCAGAGTTCTTGGCTTGGGTTGGTGTGTGGGGAGGAGATGTTGCAGGAGGGTGGACACCAGATCTGGAGAAACAGCAGCAGCCTGCCTTGGACATGGAGAATGGGTCTCAGCATCTATAGTACTTTCTAGGAATGGACCTAGAACCTGAGCATTTCTGTGCTGAAGCCCCTGCCAACCAAGGGCTGGAGAATGATCCTTATGGGACATTTGCATGAGGGTGAAAAGTATGCCCCAGAGGAGCCCCACAGCAGATGGGGTGGGGATGGGTTGGGTCCCTACTACACCCTCCCTGTCTCAGACACTCCTGGCAGGTGGCTGCTTCTCCAGATGTGCTCTGCTCACTCCCTTAGCTTTACCATTCTGCGAAACCTTCGCCTTGGGCAGGCGCACGTTGAGGGACCTTTTATGCATTATGTAGAGGTTTCAGGTTCATCAACATAGATTGGACAGACACAGCAGGAGGCTGAGAGTTGCACTGGATCCAGATTGAGGGATCTCAGTCTAAGTTACAGTTTTTGTTATTTCCTAGTGAGATGATCATGGAAGTTACTTTTCTTTCCTTCTCTATTTCCTAAGGAGAATATCCACAATCATTTGTGTCTGGCTCTAGAAGATTTAGCAGTTGCATGCTCTGGAATGCAAGCGTGTGGCTGTGCAGATATATTTGATAGGCACATGGGCTCATCTTCTGGTCCTTCACACATCTCCTTGTGGTTCAGGTCTCTCTTGCCCTGGCCCTTGAGGCATCCTGACCCCACAGAACTCTTGTAGGGGTGGCTCTGGGGATATGAAGGGTCCTCTGTCCCTTATAGCCTTAGCAGGGCAGGCAGGGCAGGTTAGGATCTGGGGTAACAGTGTCAGGTGTGGTGGACTTCAGCTCAGGGCCTCCAGATGCTTGGTGAGTGGGTGGGGCTGGATGTAAGGTCAGGGCTTAGAGCAGGTCTCTGTGGAGCTCCAGGGGCTGCTGTGTCCTTTGGGCCTGTCTCTCACTTCGGAAGCTAGAGACTCTGAGTATTCTTTTGCAAACTAATGAACCCCTCGAGGCCAGAGAGGTCCACGTGCCAGCCTGCATTCTGTTTGTTCCTGTGGGCAGGCACACAGTTCTGGAGAGCAGGCCCTTCTGGGGAGGGTCCTGTCACCAGGGCAGGCCTGATAGGGGAGAAATGTCGGTCTGTGAGTGGCTGGATCCCTTTCCTGCCTTTTTGTCATCTTTAAGAGGTGAGGAGGAGCTTTTTTGCTCATGAAAGATGTGTGCTGGAAGACTTAGGAGTGACCTTCTGTCTTACCATTGGTGCTGTTAATTACTGCTTGCACGGTAGCCAGAGGAAGGGGCTGGGCGGAATCACAGACAATGGCTTTCTCTAGGTGGAGCCTCCATCTGATGGGGTTGCACATTTGGCACAAGTAGGTTTCCCCCCACCAATGATATAAAGGCTCTGGTTCTTTGGTTGGGGGAGGGGTACATGTAGCACAAGGAAGACTTTAGACAGGAAAGGCTGAGAGGGCCAAGGAGTTGGTGGCAGGAGGTGGGGAGCGATGTCATTTATTAGGTCTATGAAAAACAATACGGAGTTTGTCTCCTGGGGACAGGGGTTCCTGGGGAGGGCAGGCCAAGAGGGGCCTGAGCAGACAAAAAACAACCACAGATCTGACGAAAATGTGGTGACCCTGAGGAGCCGGGAGAAAAGCACCTTTGTTTGGGGAGGTCAGGGCAGGGAGTGGGGCAGGCAGAAGGACTCTGGTGCGGGAGACCTGCTGCCTCTGTTCTGGGAATGTGGGCCCCTGGGAAGAGCTGGAGATGCACAGAACACTGAGCGTGATGGAAGTTTCAGGGGTGGCTAATCAGAGGCAGGTTTGGGGAACCTCTTCCTGGTCCCTTTTGTTCCTTGAGGGAGAGAGAAGAGAGCTCCTCTGTCCCCGGGAGTTAAGGAGGCTCAGCTGTGATTTGGGGTCCCCATGAGACCCTGGTTTTGCTAGTTCACTGCTCAGTGTGTTTGAATGAGCTGGCACAGGGCAGAGGTGTCTCAGAGCTGGTAGCAGAAGGATGCGGATGGAGAAGGCATGTCTGGAGGCTGCGTGAGGCAGTGGGGACTGGACGTGTCTGGACCTGCTTCAGGGCAACCATCTGGTGTTCTCCAGAGGCCCTCTGGCTCCTCCATGTACATTCCCAGTGCAGCGACTCACTTTTGCTTCTCATTATGGATATTTATTAACGGAAGGGTTTGTAGTCCCCTTGGCTGGTGGCTGCCCCCCTTTCTCTTTGGGCAGAAGCACTGTCTCCCCTTGGGCTGACCCCGCAGTCCTTGGTGACTTTGTCTGTGCTCAGGTGAGCAGCAGGCACAGTGGCCCAGGAAGATGGTGCCTGTTACTTGGTAGCCCCCTTCCTGGGGCTGCCACCCTCACAGCCCTCATAGGTTCCAAGAGCAACTGTGGGCTGCCGCCACCTGCCATCAGGAGCAGAGCTGGATGATCTTCGGGGGGTGTGGCCACCCACTCTGACGGACTCAGGCAGGACCCCAGTAGGAAAAACCCAGGGGCCTGGCTGGTGATCCTAGCAGCTGCTCACACAATGTCATACTTTGTCCTTAAACCGGTACATATGTGCATGGGCGTGCATACATGCACGGGTTCTCAGTCACATAGGCACATAACAATGGCACTCCTATTGCTCACCGGGACCTAGTAGACAGGCATTGTTATTCTATTCTCCCAATGGGGAAACTGAGGCCTGAAGAGGGCAAGTAACTTGCTGCTGATCCCACAGCTATTAAGTGATGCCCTGAAGCCCAGGCATGTCCCCCAGAGGCAGGGCTCCATGCACTGGGCCATGGTGCCGCCCATAGACATGGCAGCTGCTCTGGGTTAGGGTGGGCGCTGTACTGGAGGGTCTGGGTAGCATCTTGTCTCCAGTGCCTACTGCCCATGCTCCCTGACCTCGCTTCCCACCTTGCCAATTGGTTTAAGGGCTGGTGGCCTCTTTGAGCCTTGTGGCTTAATTAAGTCAGAATGACTGATGGAGAAGGGCCATTTCCTGGCAGTTAAGGTAAGTGGAAGATTGGAACCCAGTCTGCCCCTCCTCTCCTGTTGCACTGTTCTTACCATCTCAAAAGGGGCCTGGGAGATTCTTGGAGTTTTTCCCTCCCCTCCCCAAGTCTCCCCAGGTTGTGGCTGATTTCTTTTTTTCCCAGTCCATTTCTGAGGCAGTTGTATATAAAAATTGAGAAGCTCATGTGCTTCTTTCCAGGCGCCTTCCTCTTGACCATCCCATCTCTAGTCCAGGGGAAAGGATGGAGGGGCCACTTATGCATTCCGCACAAGA